CGGATTAACTCAGACTTTACCATTTCCACGTTGTAAGTTGCAGCACAAAGCTGATAAAAGACAGAACGTTTATGTTACTTTGAAATAACTTCTAACTGATGCAAATGTTTTATGAAAATCCAAAGTGTAAACTAGACTGAGCCCTAAATGTTTTAAGATTCTAACAAAGCATTTAGTTTTAAGATTTTAAGTTATATTAGTCCATTGTACTTGATTTGTACAATTTTTTATTTGATCATAATGCAGTTAGGCGTTCTAAAAAAAAAAATTATATATATATATATATATATATATATATATATATATATATATAAAAAACACAACAGCTGGAATTTTATTCTGCAGCTGAAGACATTTTACTTCCCATCGGAGAGGCTTTATCAGTTCAAAAAATGCCATTTTATTATTTTTGAACACTAACATGACATTAACCAAACAATAATTAGCTTGCCCAGAATAATGATTGTTCAAAATGTTAATAAAAATTAAACATTAACACAGAATCTGGATTAGCGGTGCAATAATGGCTCAAAAACCAAGTATACTTGTTTTGCCATTTGCAATGTTAGAGCTCACTGCAAAGATAGAAATAAAAACAATAGAGACATTTCCACATCAAACCTGAGATTGGCCCCTTTATTCATCCCAGACAAAAAGCGGACCACATCCTGGCACATGCCGTAACTCAAGAAGAGCACAGCATTCTCAGTGATGTTGGCGATGAGGGCTGGCGTGGTGCCTTTGTACAGACCGTGGAGTCCCACCTGTCTGAAAGTCGATATAAAGCAGTGGATAAAGCCTCGGTACATGGTGGGAAACGTCTGCATCTTCACTTTGGCTGTGTCAAACGGCTGACCGCTCAGCACGCACGCCGTACCCCCTAAAATAGGACAGCAAGACATTCAGTAAATGTTTTGTCATTTTACAAAGCAACTATTTAAACAAAGTTTTAACGTCCACATTTTGTTTAGTATACGCACATAAAAATGTAATAGACTTGCCAAAAATTATGACATTGAATAACTTGACTGATGCTACACCACATTATGACATTTGGAATCATACTTAAGAGTATTTTAGACATGAAAATCTTATTTGTGTTTTACAGATTTGACACAGACAATTTTTTATTTTTTTATTTTAGGCCTGTCGCGATAAACAATGAATCAATGATAATTGGCAGTGGCATGATAATTGAAAATTATCAACCTCATTTTCATTTATCGTTTTTTCGTCTCTCTCTTTCTACTGAAGACACTGGATGACAAAAGACTCAAATCCGGTGCTCTTCACTGTCCCCTCCCTTTCTCTTTTATCTTAAAAATCTATTTTAACTGTCCAAAATCATTAAAAGCAGCTAAGCTAAGACACTAAGCTACGAGCTAAGCTAACAGGCCGACCTCAAGAAAAAACCTCTGTCTTGTCGAAGCTCCAAAATTCATGGTTGAAACTCGTGCTTTCGTGTAAAAATGTGTTTTCTCTGCAAAAAAAGGCTGAGAACTTGTTTACTGATTTTTCATTAAAAGCTTTTATGTGAAAAAAGCTTTGCTAAAGAGCTCAAACCACACTGAGCGTTCGCCATTTTGAGAACCAAAGAGAGACAGCCCATGTCACGTCAAAGGGCCTCCCTCCCATTTTCTTAAGAGACACGCTGCTCGTTCCCTCACCATCCATCCTTCGGTTCAAACAGTCTTATACTGCCATCCGGTGGTTGAAAAAAGGTACTACACTCAAAACAAATTAACCAACATTTCTTCGTAAATTTGACAATTACTAATTATTGTCAAATTTCAAACGATATTGTTTATCGCAATAATTTCTGAGACAATTAATCGTCCAGCAAAAATTTGTTATCATGACAGGCCTATTAGATTTACTTGGTAATTACGCAAATGACTTAACTGACAGCTTGAGAGAAATTATTTGGATTAATCTAGTTCCGCATGGTTTGGACAGCCTTGCAATCTTTTTTAGAAAGTAGCCAACGCAACATTAAAAATATCTTCTAGGGCAAAGTTTACCTGGAATAATGCGACAGAAATAAAATAAATATTGCTGTTCAAGTCATTGTAGCTGTTATGAGCAGACCTTTGAAAACAATGTTTATGTGTGATTCAATGGGTTATTGCTAGGTGGCATGCTCAGTGTTATAAATGACTTTCAGCTACTACCACACCACATTTTACCTCAGTATCCACCCACTTCTAATGTTATCAGCCGTTAAACGGTCGTTATTAGTTGTTATCATCCCCATATGTAGCGGTCAGACTGCTCCTCTTGTACCTTCTAGTGGGTTTAAAGGTATGTTGTTAGCGATGATAATAGGCTACGTTGTTAGCATTGTTGGCGCTCATAAAAGGCTTCCATGGTTAGGTTCAGAGTAAAGGGTCTGGAGGTTAGGTTTAGGGTCTTGGTTAGATTTAGAGTAAAGGGTCTGGAGGTTAGGTTTAGGGTCTTGGTTAGGTTCAGAGTAAAGGGTCTGGAGGTTAGGTTTAGGGTCTTGGTTAGGTTTAGGCACAAGGGTAAAGGGTATTAAATTTAGGGTTGGACCTCTGGGTCAGGGTTTAGAAAAAGGGTTACATAAGCTGAAAAAAACACTTCCTGGTTTACCCGTGTGCGATGCTGCCTATTATCAGTGATAATAGCAATAATAACGTACCTTTAAACCTACTAGGGGGTAGGCGGGACAGTCTGCCTGCTACATATGGATGATAACAACTAATAACGGCCATTTAATGGGCTGTAAAGTTAACTGAATTAAGTTTTCTAAGGTCAGCTGCCTGTGGCAGACATCTTGAATTGGGTTGTCTTAAACAGTTATTTATTTGTAAATTTACATCCACTTTTTTTAAATCCTGAACGTTAAAGTAAAGCCTGTCCAGTGCTTCATGAGATATTTTGCTGACAGTCAATGGCAATAATTTTAACAAAGCTCTTACGTAATCCGTTAGCACTCAGAACGTGTTGGGGATCAGTCTCAGCTACTACCACACCACGCTTTATCTCACTATCTTTAAACATTAAAGCTATAACCATTTATATGAATAAACTGAATTGAATTATGTGGTTTTGAAGAGGAGTTGGCTGTGGCGGCCATCTTTAATCGAGTTGACTCCAAATGTTATTCAGTTGTACATCCAAGAAGTACTTTCTGTAAATTTCAACAAAAGCTGATATTTTTGGTAACAAAGATGCAAAACAGTAAATGAACAAATAACTTTAACTCACCTATTGCTCCAGCTGAGAAATCGATCACTGCCTGGACTACAGGATGTGGAGCCATGATGGAGCAGCTGTTTACATGCAAACAAAAAACATGCTTGAAGCTTTATTTAACCTTATTTAACACAAGGACGTGTACAATTTTAAATTGTGTTTTAAAAAAAAAAAACACGTCTTAATATCAGAACAGAATACAACAGAAAACAAAGCATTAGCAGAATAAACCAGTTGATATTTGCGCTTACCTGTTGCCCACTTAATTAAGAGAATTTATCGGGTTCTGTTCGGCTTCCTGTCCAGCCGAACTTCACTTCATATGGAAACAGAACCGGCCTCTAAATGACTACAAGTCCTCACTGACATCTGGGTGAAGGGAGGGAGCTTCAAGTTAACAGGAAAAAAATGACAGTCAGCGCCCACATCCAAGGTGACGAAGAAATCATTCACACACGTACAAGCTCCTTCCTTCACTTCCGCCTTTCTCCAGATCACCTTACGCACACCTTACGTCAGCACGTAAACATTAAATAAATCATAGAAGAAGAAGGAGACGCACAGCATGATGTCATTCCAAACAACAGTGGAAAGAAACCTGAAAACTCAAGAGTTTTATTGTTATTATTGTTATTATATGTTTTTTTCTTTTAGATTATCAGCTATAGGTTTAATAAGTGTTGTGTTTTGTATCTAACTCTGCGGATCAATCAAACTGATTCTCAACGACTTGAGTAACATTTTCATTCTACCTTTTTGTTGCTTGTGTTATGTTTAATAAAAACAGGTTGAAATTTGATCTTATTATGAATAATATATTTTGTTTGCCGATGATACGTTTTGGTTTGCCTGGGGGGAAATTTCCAGCATCTTTTCCAGAGAGTCACCACAGAAAAACAGTGAGATTTAAGCAAACTGAGTTTTAAATCTATGTTGTTGTTGTTGTTGTTTTTCTAGAAATAAAAAAGACATATAGAGGATTCAATAAAATCAGTGATTAATAAAACTGAGATAGAAAGAACATGGACCATCAAATATGACGAAAACTTCAACTTCATAAAAAAATGAGAACATTTGTAAAAAGTTGAAAAACAAATAATAATAAAAGGGGATAGCACAACATAGTGGATCATAAATCATTGTTGATTCTGTATTTATCACTCATACTGTCAAATCTGTTTTACTATGTGGAAAGTTTGGAGTAACACAAACAAAAGCAACATCCTTTTTTTTTTTTTTCCATTCAACCTTTATTTAGACAGGTTAATCCCATTGAGACTCGGGGACTCATTTACAAGAGAGACCTGATTTTAACAAAGAGTGATGACAACAATGGACAACAACAACAACAATAGACAGTCATAAAATAGGCATAAATTCAAGTTTCTCTCTTTTTTTTTTACAAATTGAAATAAAATAGCAACCAAAAGGACAATCAAGAGGAATAATAGCCAAAAAACAGCTAGATTATAAGGCGATTTAGAAAACTATAGGAACTTGTCTGCAATGGCTTTTGCCAGGTACTTAACAGGGTTTTAAAGTCACTTAAGGTCAAGGTCGAGAGCTTCAGATCTTTTTGCAAGATATTCCAGGAAACAGGAGAAGGCCCTTTTGCCTAGTTCAGTCCCCACTGCGGGACACAACAAATTACAAACTACAGAAGAGAGCAACCAGGATTGTTTGTAAGGTTGAGTTTTGTGGGCACAGAAGCAAATTGTCTTTAAGTCATAAACATTGCAATCCTGGGATTTGGTTGAATTTAAATGTGCATAATTTAGGTTCAAATCAAGAGACAAGGTATGTCCAGGTATTCATAGTTTTGTGACTGTTTTCATACAACAAGTGTTTCTTTGTGTGGGGATTTGTGGAACGGGCTAAATGTTGAGTTGAAACAATGCACTGAAAAAAATCCGTTTAAAAAGACACACAAAAATGTAATTTTGGTGGAGGAGGAGTGCAGACGTCATTTAGAACACTGGTTAAATTAAGCAGAGTTAAGCTATTTGTGGTGAATTCTGCTTCAAAGGTTAAAATATAATTAATTATAATGTAAGAGGTGGCACGCAGAATTAGAATTATATTGACCACAAATATAAGTGAGCCAGGGGTACGGAGGAAACATAAGTCTTTCTCCAAACTTCCTGTTTTGTTCGTTGGCCCAAAATGTTTTGTTTTGTTTTTTGTTATGTATATTTGAAATGTTAGGCTCATTGGTAACTCTAAATTGTCCCTAGGTGTGAGTGCAAGAGTGAATGTTTTGTTTATTTATGTATTTATTTTCTTGTTTGTCTCCATCCCTGTGATGGACCTGGAAATTTGTCTCCGGACCGTGTCCAACTGTAATATCAAATATTGGCCACTAGATGTCAGGATACCCCGTTCTTTGGACCTTAGTTTCATGGATCAACGAGAAAGTGGTGGATTTCAAAAGTCTGCAGCTGATTTATAGTTTGTATTAAGGGATAAAACATCACATTAAAATGCTAAATGTTTCTTTTAATTGTTTTCATAAACATTTGATAAACTACATAGGCTGCCAAGAATTTGTCCCATAAAATGTTGCAATGTCCCCAAACAGGTAGCAGTTTAAGTGGAAAATTAAATAGAAAATATTACAGCCTTCTCACACTGGAGCTTGAGGATGCTTTAATTTCAAGAGTTAGTGGCACCTCACACAAATACATATTATCATATCATTAAAAAGTGAGGGGGAAAGAAAGCAAACCACTCAACGACAGCAATAATAATAATAAAATACAGACACAATAAAATTTACAGTTTTCTATTTCACATAATGAGATTTTGGTCCAGATTTTTTTCAGAACTGAGTGTTTTTCAGACAGATATTACAAGTTTAGGCAGGCACAGTTCCTTTTATTTCTAACAGTGAATGTGGCAATTTCAGTGAGTCACACACACACACACACACCCACACACACAGACCAACTTTAATTTAGAATAACCTTTTGATATTCAAATGTTGCAAAAGGGGGTTTCTCTAATGACTTGCTGAGATTGCGTGTCATCACGGTTGTCCAGTCATGTCAGCTTAGCGCTCGAGTTAAAACAGCAAATATGTCAATTTGGAAATTTTCTCAGTCTGTCAAATTCCCTCCACATTTGTTTCTGAAATGATTTTCCGTTTTATTACAAGCTAAAAGCAATTTGATCCGTTTTTTATTTGATTTTATATAAGCGAAAAATATAAAAATCACTAATGGATGTTGAATTCATGTATGAATGTATTAGCCTATGGCAATTTCATAGGCTCAAAATGTTATGAAATGAACAGGTTTGGACTTGCTCTTCAAATC